AAAGAAATCAAAGAAAGAAAGAGAAAGGAGCCGCAACGCCTAACGGAAGAGAGGATAGCAGGGATGGACATCGGAGATGAGAATTTGACCCCACAGGAGCGAGAACGTGTGATAGAAATCCTGAAGACATGTGATAAGGCTATAGCTTTTAGTGACGCGGAGCGCGGTAGGATTGACCCTCGATACGCTAAGCCAGCAAGGATTTACACGATACCACATGTTCCCTGGAATGACGCGGGATGGAAATACGCCCAGAAGGAGAAGGAAGAAGTTATCACTTTCCTGAAACAAAAGATGGTTTCCCATGTTGCGGAGCCGTCTGATAGCGCTTATGCTAATCAATGGTTCTTCTTACGAAAGCCGAATGGCAAGATCCGATCGATCCAGGACCTTCAGAAGGTCAACGCAGTGACGATACGAGACGTGGGCTCCGTGCCACACGCCGATTTACTGGCAGAAGCCGCAGCAGGTAGGTCGATTTATTCCGTCTGTGATCTGTTCTCAGGCTATGATGAGGTACCACTTGACCCTAGAGACAGACACCTCACGGCTATGCATACGCCATTGGGACTAATACAGTTGATGGTTGTCCCTATTGGTTGGACTAATGGGGTAGCCGTTTTTCAGAGAGTCATGGTAGCCGTCCTCAAGGACTTCATCCCTGATAAGGTTGAAGTTTTTCTGGATGACTTTCCTATAAAAGGGCCAGTAGACAGAGATGAGACAAAGGTTGTACCTGGAGTTAAAAGATTCGTCGAGCATCACCTAACAGATATTTGCGCGGTACTCGAGCAACTGGACGATGCGAATTTAACAGTCAGCGGAACAAAGAGCCGATGGCCGTCTCGACTATTAAGATCTTGGGCTTTATATGTGATTCGAGAGGACGCCGGGCAGATCCGGCGAAGTTATACAAACTTATGAACTGGCCCTCAGCGTTACATAGCCCAACCGAGGTCCGACAGTTTTTAGGAATGGTCGGTTACTGGCGTATATTCATATGGGGGTGTGCGGAGAAGGCTGAGCCATTGAGGTTACTCCTTCGAAAGACTGAAAACTTTTATTGGAATTCTTCGCAGGAACTTGCTATGCAAGAACGTAAAGACGAATTTAAGGAAGGAGGATGCGTGTTGGGCGTGCCATTCTTTGATGATGAGACCGAAAGACCCTTCATAGTATCCACGGATGCTGGACCATGTTCAGTGGGTGGTTTGCTGTCTCAGAAGGACGCTGGAGGGAAGGAAAGACCGTTAAGGTTTGAGAGTAGGACACTTAATACGGCTGAGCGTAACTACAGTTAATTCAAGAAGGAAGTGTTAGCTGTTCTCCGGTGTCTAAACACGTTCAGACACTATATTTATGGGCGACGGTTCATCTTGAGAGTARACCCCACCGCGGTTGCCTCTGTCCTCCAGAAGGACTTTAGTCTGACGGACCCGACCATCGCCCGATGGTTAATACGGATTCGGCTATACGATTACACGGTTGAGAGAGTATCTGGTACGAAAAATGCCGCGGCAGATGGACTTTCACGCATCCCTCTCGAGCATCCGATAGTAGCTGGGGCTCTGACAATGGCAGAGCCGAGGCGCGCCGAGAGATTTCTAGTTAATCTTTACGAGGGCAAGTACCGAATGATCGGACTACACCTGACGGGAGAGGAGAGTCAAGATTGGGAAATCCGGAGGCAAGCAGCCCAGTACTGCCTTAGAGCGGGCCACCTTTTCCGAAGGCCAGTAGGGTCAAGAATGCCCTTACGAGTAGTCTGTGATCCTGAGGAGAGACAAACGATAGTTGCGGAACTTCATGACGGGGTAGTCGGAGGACACAAGGGAGTTAAAGGAACCTACGAAAAGATACGCCGGCTGTACTGGTGGGAAGGAAAGTATAAGGACGTCGAGAGGTACTGTATGACATGCGAAGAGTGCCAGAAGAGAGCTCTTGTAAAATACAAAGAGCCACTTCATCCATCCTATCCGACCAGACCAGGAGAGAAGGTACACATCGATCTAGTGAAAATGCCGAGAGGGGTAGGCAATATGAACTACGTCGTGAACATACGAGACGATTTCACTGGGTTCGTGGACGCTAGACCTATCAGGAGTAAGGCGGCAAAGGAAGTAAAGAACTTTGTCATAGAGTACTTATCTAGGTATGGTTGTGTTAGCAAGATAGTGATGGACAAAGGGACGAAATTCCTCGCCGACGAGGTTCAGAGCGTGTTTAGGAGAGCCGGTGCGAGAGTTTCGATAGCCACCGCCTATCACCCACAGTCGAACTCCCCAGTAGAGAGGGGACACCAGACTCTGATAGCATCACTGTCCAAGTGGTGCAAGGGTAAGGACAGTGATTGACCACGATATTTTCGATACGCGATATGGGCGGACAACGTCACGGTCCGGGCTAGTACCGGATACCCACCGTACACCTTGTGGTTTAGACGACATTGTCCGCTTCCCATAGAATTTCACGTCGAGAGTTGGACAACCATCGATTGGGCAGAAGAGATGTCCAGAGAGGAACTCTTAGCTGCCCGAACGAGACAAATAGCCTACGGTTTGGAAGATGACCTCATGACAGCGGCAAATCGTCTGGTAGTGGAAAGGGAGAAGGGTAAAGAGAGATGGGATAAGAACGTGCGAATCAGGAAAGAGAGGGTGAGCGTAGGAGATATGGTCCTTCTCTATGATGCAGCGCTGGAAAGGACCTGGACCGGAAAGCTTGCCAATAGATGGATGAGACCTTACAGAGTGGTTGAGGCACTTGACAGGGGTGCATATATGATAGCAGAACTAAACGGATCTAAGTGGAAGGACCCAGTGGCGAGGGCTAGGTTAAAGTTGTTTAGGCCCAGGCCCACGCCCGCTTTATCGCTAACCAGCCCGAAAGGGAAAGGGAAAGCCATGATGGAGGATGAAGCGTCCTTGGGGCAATTCGAGGCAGGAGAGAGTTCCAAGAAAAGAAAAAGAATAGAGAAGAGAAAGGTCAAAGGGGTAGCTTTAGGAAGAAAGAAGAGATGGTTATTCGTGCTCAAGCGAGCTAGACGGAGAGTTCGCGTTAGACGTACTGGCGGGTCGACACCCTTCTCGGGGCAAAGACAGAAGAAAAAGAGGATCGTGCCGGGACCAAAAACCAGAAGAAACAGGAGAGTCAAGAAGCATTTTCTTAGCCCCAGGACTCATAACAAACTGAAACA